AAGTAGTTCGTCACTCTTTCTTCCTAGTCTGTCTTTGTCTGGAAGCTCATCTGAAACCTGTCCACCATGGGTGACCCTGCTGGTATTTAAAATACCGGTGGCATAGCTTTCAGAATCACAGCAACTCACAAGCCACCACAGTATGACAAATTGACAGACAACTAGTGGCCATAAAGATTTATAGCCTTGGAAATCCTATACAGGGTCACTCAGAGTCAGAACCAACTCCGCAGCACACAACCACCACTTTGCTGTTCAGCGCATTTACCTGCAGCGTCACACCAGCACTTTCTCTCACTCTTTTTATATCTATGCCCCCACAAATGTATAAGAGTTTGAAAAAGAATATTTGTACATGGGAATTTATTTACCTTTTCTGCAAACACAGCTACAAATGTGGTGGAGCATACAGTGGGCAAAATGATGAAAGCTTCTTAGATTTTATCAAACATCTTAAGGCAATGAGTTGCTGGGCCTGGGGGCTCAGCACCATAGTCTCAGGGGACAACACGGTCAATTGGCATAACATAGGACACAAAGACAACATCCTGCATCCTACTTCAGTGAGGATGGAGCGTCTGGGATCTTCAAAGCTCACGAGCAGCCATCTAATGTGCAACTATGGGTCTCTCCATGTGCAGAAGAAAGAAGAGTGATGAGAATGGAAGAGGACTGGAATCAATTTGTCCAGAAGATTAATGGACCATGTGAACACCAGTCTCCATGACTCTGAAACCAGAACTAGATGGTGCCTGGCTGCCACTACCAACTGCTCTAAAAGGATCATATTAGTTGGTCCCAGATAGAGACTGGAGAAACCTGAGACCATGGCACATGACCACCCTTTAGGTCTGGAGAGGAACTCACCCCTGTGACCCAATTTTCAAGCCAAGCAGCAGATAGGTACACAGGGGGACAACACCACTGATAAGGTATGCTCATGATGGAATGGCTAATCATTCAAAATCAAAAGGGCAACATTTACCTAAAGAGAAAGTTGAAAAGGGATGGGAAGATGGGTGGGGAGGAAAGAGGAGCCACAAGGAGGAAGTGGGATAACAGTTATTGCATGGAAGGGGCTGCAATCATTGAGATGAAAGAAAACATATGATTTGTTGAACGTAAAACTGATGATCTTGTAAACCACTCAATTCACAATAAAAAGTTAAAAAAAACAAAACAACCCACAACAAAACCCCAACAAACCCAGGATCAGAGATATTAAATACTTTGCTCAAGGTCATCTGGCACGTTAGTGGTGGGTCCCAGAGAGGGCCCCAGGGGTCTGACCCCAGCCCAAGGTTGCTATTGGTTGTCAATTAGTGGGAATATCTGGAGAAACATCTCCCATTCTTGAGTGTGAGATTCCTTACAGTTGTAACGAGATTGTAAAGACCAACAATAGTAACTAATATAGTGGTTAAAGAGCTCCAGTAGCATAGTGGTTATGAGTCGGGCTGCTAGTCGGACTGCTAACCTCAAGGTCAGCAGTTCGAAACTACCAGCTGTTCCACGGGAACAAGATGTGGCTTTCTGCTCCCATAAAGATTTACAGTCTTGGAAACCCTATACAGGGTCGCTATGAGTCGGAACTGACTCCATGGCACACTATCACCACCACTAATACAGTGGTTGCTTTAAGATATAACCACAAATTCTTTGATACTCCTCCCTTCAGAAGATGGAAACGAATCTCCTTGAGTGTTATTTGCTTTTAACTAAAAGAATAAAGAGGGAGTGATGGTAACTAAAAAACAGACAGTGCTGTTGAGTCAATTCTAACTCTTAGCGTCCCTATAGAGTAGACTAGAACTCTTAGAGCTTCTGAGACAGCAAATCTTTAAGGGAGCAGACAGCTTCATCTTTCTCCCAAGAAGCAGGTGGTGGATTTAATACTTAAGACAATGCTTAACCCGCTGTGCCACCAGGGCTCCTCGCCTCTGAAGAATGGGTCACAGAAGGCACTGACTCTACTGCTTGATCTCTTGTTCTATAATGGAGCCCTTGTTCTGGGGGGAGCTCTATACACAAGGAACTAAGGCCCCCCAGCCAACAGCCATATGAGTGCACCATCTTAACAAAGGACCGTTTGGCCCCAGCCAAACCTTCAGATGATTGTCATCTAAGCTGATATTGTGACTGCAAACCCATGGGAGCCCCAGAGCCAGGACCACCCAAGTGAGTCACTCCTGGATTCCTGACACATAGAAACTATGTGATAATAATGCTTCTTGTTTTAAGCCATTACAGCTTGGGGGCAATTTGCTATATGTCACTATGTAACTAGGAGTCCTGGTGTGGCGCTGTGGGCTAATGCACCAGGCTGCTAAGCCGTTTGAACTGCAAGGTCGGTGGTTCAAACTCACCAGCTGCTCCTTGGAAACACTATACAGGGTCGCTATGGGTCAGAATCGACTCGACGGCATTTCACAACAACAATATGTAACTCATACCATGACTGATAATGACAATGGAAACCTGGTCATGTGTCTAGTCTATAAGGGAAAATCCTTGGAGGGCAGGCTATCTGTCCCTTGGGGGGCAGAACGGGGCTGAAAGAGCAGCAGACTGGAGCCCCAAATCTGGGGTTCTGCTTTCTGCTTTTCTCTGTGGTTGTCTTGGGTGGGGAGTCACCAGCCTTGCTGGGTCTTAATCACCCAATAATGTCATTAAATCACGAAAGACTCATAATTCTGATGTTCTTTTACTTTGTCTCAAAAAAATTATTATTTTTAAGTTTAAAATTTTGCAGATTTGCAGCACGCCCCCTTCAGAAGGGACTTAAAGCATTTATTTTTAATCTTCATATTGAAATTTGAGTTTTATCTTATGGTGATTGAAGGGTATACACCATAGTGACACATACCACAGAACATACGCGCTGGACCCAGGTTCCTGGGTTCAAAGTCCAGCTCTGCCACTTCCTAGCTTTGTCTGCCTCAATTCCCTTATCTATAAAATGGGGAAAGTAGCAGTATCTACCTCAATGGGTTCTTCTAGGGATTGTTGCTGTTGTTAAGTGCCATGGAGTCGATTTTGACTCATAGTGACCCTGTATAGGGTTTCCAAAGAGGCTGGTGGATTTGAACCGCCAAGCTCATGGTTAGCAGTCAAGTTCTAAGGATTAAATATACATAAAAGACTTAGGGCATTGCCTGGCCCATCTAACCAGTTAGTGGTTTCCAACTGCTGGTGACCCCACATGTGTCAGAACAGAACTGTGTTCCAGAGGGCTTTCCATGGTGGAATTTTCAAATGTGGATAATCAGGATTTTCTTCTAAAGTACGTCTGTGTAGACTTGAATTGAAGCTGAGCACATTATTAATTGTTCCACCCAGGGACTCTGCCTGGCCCATAGTAACCGCTACATAGGGTCTTCTTCTTGTTGTTGTTAAGTGCCATTGAGTCAGTTCCAACTCATAGCAACTCATAGAGTTTCTGAGGATCGACTGGTGGGTTTGAACTGTTGACCTTGCAGTTTAAACTGATCTTTCAATCCAGTGTATTATCCTGTTATGCCACACGAGGACCCTGGGCTTGATACTATTATTACTATTGTCGTGACTGCAAGTTTATTGCTATACAATTGAGAGTGACGATGATTGTTCCCTTGGATTGAGTACTTGCTTTGTACCAGGCTCTGGGCTATGTGCTTTGAATGGGTCATTTTACTTAATCCCTACAACATTCATGTGAAGTAGGATTTTTCACTCCCATTATACAGATGGGAAAACTGAGGCTTGGTGAGGTGACATAATTTATCTAATGTCATCCACTCATGTGTGGCAGTATGAGACTTCACCAGTATGCTCAGAGACTTGTAAAACTAAACAAACAAACACCTTCCCAAAACAAAGCTAACAAACACACAACAAACGTACCTACAGACTTCAGACCAGGAAGTTGAGTTCAACCTGCCCCTCCCAGCTGTGGTCCACTGAGGAAACCGTTTCTCCAGCCTCAGACAGCGATCTTCACAGTAGAAACTCCAGAGTTAATAAATAATGGAAGCTTTCCTTGATACATAATTTGGTTGAAACTGGAGTATTCAATATTTGTAAATTAATTTCCCCTTGTGCAGTCAACCAACTAATTTGCCGACATGTTAACATAGCAGCATATTCCCCGAAGTTACTGATGTATTAGCGCTGTAGGAGGTTATGGGCCAGGAATCCAGGGTCTGGAAGAACAGTTTCTCTGATGCTCTGGCTTAATTAAGGGTATCTTCTGGCCCCTCCCGGACCACTGCGTATTCAAATCTGAGATCTGCTAAGCAAGTTTTCATCAGGATGACCACGGTGCTGGGAGACTGAAGCTTCTCAGAGGTAGACACTTTGTAATTTACACAGCAAATTGAGGCCCACTTTTAGTTCATTGCCTCCTTCAGGCACTGTGAGATAGAGCACTGGACCTCAAGGTCAGTTTGAACCACCGACCTTTGAAACCCTATGTCCAGGGCCGCTCCTTTGAAACCCTATGTCCAGGGTCGCTATGAGTTGGAACCAACTCAACGGCACTTAACAATAAGGACAGTTCTCCCAATTGTGCAGATGAGAAATTGAGGTAGGTGTCGAGAGGGCCAGGGTCACATGTGTGTCAGTGACAGAGGTAGGACAGACCCCAAGCACAGAGCAAGGGGAGAAGCAATGTGCAGTGCTGGGGAGCAGTGGCGGGGACACCGGAGCAGGCCTTGAACATAATAGATGTAAAGGAGGTCTGTCGGGGG